AGTATTATACATTGTCTCTATATATTATATCTACATCATACAGTATTATACATTGTCTCTATATATTATATCTACATCATACAGTATTATACATTGTCTCTATATATTATATCTACATTATACAGTATTATACATTGTCTCTATATATTATATCTACATCATACAGTATTATACATTTTCTCTATATATTATATCTACATCATACAGTATTATACATTGTCTCTATATATTATATCTACATCATACAGTATTATACATTGTCTCTATATATTATATCTACATTATACAGTATTATACATTGTCTCTATAATTATATTATATCTACATCATACAGGATTATACATTGTCTCTATATATTATATCTACATCATACAGTATTATACATTGTCTATATATTATATCTACATTATACAGGATTATACATTGTCTCTATATATTATATCTACATTATACAGTATTATACATTTTCTCTATATTATATCTACATCATACAGGATTATACATTGTCTCTATATTATATCTACATCATACAGTATTATACATTGTCTCTATATATTATATCTACATCATACAGTATTAAACATTGTCTCTATATACAACAACAAGACCTGGTTGAACTGGGTGATGCTCCCCGAATATGTTTTGTAGTTTAAGAGTTATTTCCTGGACAAAGTTCAAAGTGCAATTATTCCAAACTTAGGCAAGACAAAGTATTTGTTTTTTGCACTGCTCATCTACCCAGTTATATCTATCTACCTTAAAAGTTTTTAGTTCATATCTCTTATAGTGTTAGATTTATGTCCCGGCCAAAGTTCATAATGTAAATATAAACAAAGGGCAATAAATTCAAAATTAGACACTTGGCAGAGTAACGGTTCTTGTGCACTGCTCATCTACCCAATGAGATCTATCTACCTACAAAGTGTCTTTCTTGTTCATATCTATTATACTTTCAGTACTATGTCCCGCACAAAGTTCAAAGTATAAAAATGAACAAAGGCAATAACTCCAAAATTAGGCAAGACAGAGTTATGGTTCTTAAGCACTGCACTTTCATCCAATGAGATTTATCTACCTACAAAGTTTCATGTTGATATCTCTTATAGTCTTAGAGTTATGTCCCGGACAAAGTTCAAAGTGTAAAAATAATCAAAGGGCAATAATTCCAAAATTAGGCAAGGCAGAGTTATGGTTCTTGTACACTGCATATCTACTAAATGCTATCTATCTACCGACAGAGTTTCATGTTACAATGTTATGTCACACACAAGAATAGTGAACGGATAGTCAAAGCGGCGACTATTATGCTCAACCTAAATAAATTTTATTCTAAAAAGTTAGATAAACTTCAAAATTATATTGAATGCTTATCTGCAATAACTAATACAATAGAGTAATGAAGTAAATACAGACTTTAAAAATATCAAATTTTATTGTTTACATAAGTTCTTTATCTCAATTTATCATGTAATATCAAACTAGAAATTTTCAAATGTATCCAACTCTTACCACTTCAATATTTAATTGTTTCAAAAGATGATGTAGGTATCCGCGACGTTTCGCAGGATGAGCGATTTTTTACGGACGCGGACAGTCATGGACAGGTCTCGTCACGACAAAATGCCTCGAATGAAATTAAATAATTTCGAAAGAAAATACTAAAAAGCTCACCAAAATAGTGTTGGAGAACCCATAAGTTTATGATGCACCAATGACAGATTAAAACTAGAAATGTGTCATCATGCCACGGATGCCCCCGCATGCAGCCAAAATTTCAGATGGTGCATTAATTATTTTTTTCATTTTAAGTTCAAAGCCCTTAAAACTTTTCAATGTTAACACTAACCATTTTCATACAATGTTCAAGGCACTGAAATAATTCAGTCTTAACCTTTTAAAAATAGCATATTGCATATTTGTAGCCAAAATAATGGCTAAAAGTATGAGTGCTGAAACTGAAAGTTCAAAATTTTTCCAACATTCAGGAAAGATAAGTTTGTCTATAATCATTGAACCACGACCAAATTCAAACTTAAACTGCTTATTCCTTAGATGTATCTATATTATTTTCAAAAAGAAAGGGACATAACTCTGCCAAAAAATCATCAAACCATGACCAAATTCCAACTTGACCTGCCCATTCCTTTGACATATCCATATGTCAAATTTAAGTTGAATATGTAACACTGTTGGGTAAATAATGAACAGAAATTGTAAATTTCATATTATTTTCTAAGTGAAAGGGGCATAACTCTGCCAAAAATCATCGAACCATGACCAAATTCAAACTTGGCCTGGGCATTTCAAAAACATATCCATATGTCAAATTTGAGTTGAATGTGTTGTACCATTGAGGAGATAATAAACAGAAACTGAAAATTTCATATTATTTTCAAAGTAAAAGGGGCATAACTCTGCCAAAAATCATCGAACCATGACCAAATTTGAACTTGACCTGTATTTTCTCATGACATATCCATATGTCAAGTTTGAGTTGAATGTGTTGTACCATTGGGGAGATAATGAACGGAAACTGAAAATTTTATATTATTTTCAAAGTAAAAGGGGCATAACTCTGCCAAAAATCATTGAACCATGACCAAATTTGAACTTGACCTGTATTTTCTCATGACATATCCATATGTCAAGTTTGAGTTGAATGTGTTGTACCGTTGGGGAGATAATGAACGGAAACTGAAATTTCATATTATTTTCAAAGTAAAAGGGGCATAACTCTGCCAAAAATCATCGAACCATGACCAAATTCGAACTTGACCTGTATTTTCTCATGACATATCCATATGTCAAATTTGAGTTGAATGTGTGCAACCGTTCTTAAGATAATGAACGGAAACTGATGATGACGGAATGACAGAATGACGGAAGGACGGAAGGATGGAAGGACGGAATGACGGAACAGGGTAACACTATATGCCCCGGCCATTACATGGCGGGGGCATAAAAACAACAACTGGTCTTCGGTTGCTAAAGAGATGTTATTCAAACACCTAACTGGTATTCAATGTTTTCCTTTTTCTTTTTACCTAATTCTTTGATGTTACAACTGGTTTTGGTATTAGAATGAAATTATGTCATATTCTACATTCTGTTCGCTATACTATAATTAAAAGTATATAGAAAATAACGTACCTATGGAATAATACTCACAGACATGCACCGGACACGGATCACGGAGGCGGGTCACAGATCGCGCACCAATGGAATAGCGGCCTAACAGTTTGTTTTTCACATTTAAATGGGGAATGGTAGCAGAGCCCATAGAGGGGAAAATTGTGCCATGGAGGGGAAAAAAGCAAAATCTAATTTAGAAATAGACAAAATCCATTTTTTGTTAAATATAATTGTATATAAACATGTAATCTGCGGAACAATACATGTACCATTATATGGTCAAACTACAATATTCCTCTCTGCTCCACTGTTGTGATACAATATGTCAGCTAGATATATATTATGCTTCAACTCAGGTGCTAAATAAAATATCTACATGATTAACATCCCTCAAATTGTGTGAGTGTATATTAACACTTTTATAGCCAGGGTTGTACTTGAATTTCAGAAATGGACTTATCCAGCTTACACTTTTAGAACAGTCCATAATCAATTTTAGGGATATCAAGATGAAAATCTAAAGTGATAAGCTAAAAATTTATAGAACCTGGTCAGACAGTAAGTATAGACAGGCTGGCCTGGCTCTATACTGGTGGTAAAAGCTATGATCAACTTTAGTTCCAGCAGGTTAAGGATAAATTGCCATTATTATAGATGGTGTAAGTACTTGCCATTAATATGAATAACAGAAAATTACTATAAAAGATACAAAATCAATACACTGCGGACAGGCATTCTTAAGCATTTGAGCAGACAAGCTTATTATAGTAAAAATCCCTGTGAACTTGACATTTGACGCAGTCACCTAAAAATCAATAGGGGTCAACTACTAGTCAAAAACAACCTCAATACCAAATATGAAGACTGTGAGTCAAAAGAATCTTAAGTTATTGGGCGGACAAGCTTGACCTTTCACCCAGTGACCTAAAAATCAATAGGGGTCATATTCAAATCATGGCCAACCTCCATGCCAAGTAATAAGACTGTGGGTCAAAGGAATCTTAAGATATTGGGCGGACAAGCTTTTTTAGTCAATGCCCCTTTGACCTTGACCTTTGACCCAGTGACCTCAAAATCAAAAGGGATCATCTTCTAATCATGACTAACCTCCATGCCAAATATGAAGACTGTGGGTAACAGGAATCTTAAGTAATTAGGTTTAGTCAAGGTCCCCGTGACCTTGACCTGGCAACCTCAAAATCAATAGGGTCATCTACTAATCAAGACCAATCTTAATACAAAATATGAAGACTGTGGACCAAAAGAAACTTAAGTTATTGGGCTGACAAGCTTTCTTAGTCAAGGACCCTGTGACCTTTGACCCAGTGACCTCAAAACCAATAGGGGTCATCTAATGGTCATGGCCAACCTTCATGCCAAATATGAAGACTGTGGGTCAAAGGAATTTTAAGTTATTGGGCAGACAAGCTTTTTTTAAGTAAAGGCCCCTGTGACCTGACCTGGTGACCTCAAAATCAATAGGGATCATCTACTAATCATGACCAATCTAACTACTAAATATGAAGACTATGGGTCAAAGGAATCTTAAGTTATTGCGCAGACACGGAAAAACCGCTGGACGGGGTGACGGCTGGATGGACAAGCCGATTCCTGTACACCCCCCTTACAACTTTGTTGTGCAGGGGTATTAATATAATATACATCTGCCCAAAGACAGCTATACCAGTAAAATATTCAAAAGATTTTGTTTTTTAATTTGGTTCTCACAATCAAACCACACTTTTTAAAGGTCATATTGCGCCTTTTGTAGCCTTCATGGTCAAGAAAGACTCCCATGCATTATTTCAAACTCGAGCGAGCAAGAAGATAGATGCTGGTTAAATCAATAAGAATTAGTTCAGACATACCATTGATACATTCAAAGCCTGATGAAACTTGACAAGCTCAAGTGACCAATCTTCATGTGCTTCCAGATCCCCATGTGACACTGGGCTATACTCTTCACACAGGAAACACTTCCAGTGGCTTGTATTCTCTATCTGTAATACATGTATATTATATTACAGACATGTTCACAATTTCTTAATCTGCATAGAGAATATTCAAGTTTTTTCTATAAATACACGATTTATTTTTATTGAATGGTATAAAAAAAAATAAAAAAAAAATGATATATTTTCAAACCACAAGATGAAAATAAATCCTGTATTTATTAAAAAACTTGAATTTTCTGTTTATTATATACATTTTTCTCATTTTTGACATTACAATTTGAAAGACTTTCCCTTTAAATCTGTACTGGCAGAATCTGAAAGAAAAAAGCCCGGCATGACACCGGTGAAAATATTGAAAATATGTTTCACTGTAATGAAAAATTATTTTTTTCCAGTGAAAATACAGAAAATGAAAACACATTTTATTTCATCAATATTTTGAAATATTTCATTTAAAGGTATATAATAAAATACTTTATTTCTATGATTAAATTATCTTGGAAACAATTATTGAAATAAATTATGATAACCCAAAAATGAGAATGATGACCCCAATTTTTTTTTCCGCTTAAAATGTTTCTGTTATCATATTCTAACAACATGCCAAGTTGAAAGAAATTCTATTGAACAGTTTTCATTTTGCCTATATGTCTATATGAAAACTCCCGAAAACGTTCTTCAAGAACTTCATACTATTTGAAGTTGATCTAGATCAATGACATGTGTGCAAACTTTAAGATCATCCCCTCACTTCATTTTCCCAGAACATTCATTTTTATTTCGCAAAATGTCCAAAAAATATGTTTTTCAAAGCTAAAATTCAACTTAAAAGTGGGCTAGTAGTCACATAACAAGAGCTGTCCGTAAGACAGCGCGCTCGACTTTTTTAGTGCTTGCCTATAATACAAAACATTGACAGTTAAGGGCCATAATTCAAATAAAATCTTTGACAGAATTACCTTCTCCTGGACATGTTTGGGAATCATGATTGTAAACAAGTATTCCAACTTTCAAATTAATATCTCAAACAGTTCAGTCAAAAAGTGGACTGGTACTAAAAACTTAACCAAGATTCTAAGTCGATAAAAGGCCTTAATTTTTAAAACAAATCCTTGACAGAGTTACCTTCTCTTGCGTACAGATGGGGGTAATGATGTGAAATAGCATTAAAAGTTTCAAAGCAATATCTCAAAGGGTTAAGGCAATAAGTGGATTTTACCCATATTCAATGTATTTTCTAAGTCAAAAAGGGGCATAATTCTGTCAAAAACCTTGACAGAGTTATGTCCTCTTGTCTGTTGATGAAGGTCGTGATGGTAAACAAGTATGGTCAGTTTCAAAGCAATACCTCCAATGGTTTTGAAATAAAGTGAGGTGGTACAAAAAAACTTAACCAAGATTCTAAGTCGATAAAAGGCCTTAATTTTTAAAACAAATCCTTGACAGAGTTACCTTCTCTTGCGTACAGATGGGGGTAATGATGTGAAATAGCATTAAAAGTTTCAAAGCAATATCTCAAAGGGTTAAGGCAATAAGTGGATTTTACCCATATTCAATGTATTTTCTAAGTCAAAAAGGGGCATAATTCTGTCAAAAACCTTGACAGAGTTATGTCCTCTTGTCTGTTGATGAAGGTCGTGATGGTAAACAAGTATGGTCAGTTTCAAAGCAATACCTCCAATGGTTTTGAAATAAAGTGAGGTGGTACAAAAAACTTAACCAAGCTCAATACACTTTCTAAGTCAAAAAAGGGCCATAATTCTGTCAAAAACCTTGACAGAGTTATGTACTCTTGTCTGTAGATGGAGGTTATGATGGTGAACAAGTATGGTAAGTTTCAAAGCCATACTTGTAATACTTCTGAAATAAAGTGGGGTGGTACGAAAAACTTAACCAAGGTGTGACGCCAACGCTAACGCTAACGCTAACGCCGACGCCGACGCCGACGCCGGGGCGAGTAGGATAGCTCCCCTTTTCATAGAAAAGTCGAGCTAAAAATTAAATTTTAATTCAATACTGTGTTGAACCTCTTATTCTCTTTTGAATTTTTTACCCATTTTGCACACACAGTCAAATGTGTATTAAGGGACCGCGCACTTAGGGAAACACCAAAAATATTAGCTTAATGAAACGGTCAAAGCACCTGAAAACAATTAAAATTGAAACATGACATCTTTCCTTTGCCGTGAGGATGTTATTCAACTTCATTTATATGAATTTATAAAAATTATTATGCTCCAAAAATCTAAATAGATGCTTAAAAATAAAAAAATAACTTCCTAATTGATTTTTACACATGATTCGTTACGTAATGTTTGACATTTCCAAGAATTTTTAAGGTACACTGTTGCTTTTCCATGTCCCTGACACAAAACATCTAATAAGTGTAACTGCTTTCTGTTGTGTACTTTTCATTTGAAACAGACTACATCTAATTGTAAACCATTTCTTTAGGGTTTGTTTGATTGAGTTTTACGTCACACCAACACAGAATAGGTCATATGGTGACATTCCAGCTTTTAAGGTGGAGGAAGACCTCAGTTTTTTTTCCGTGCATTATTTCAGGCATGAACGGGCACCCGAGTCAAACCACTGACATTCCGTAAGCTAGCTTGATAACTTGAATCCTCACATCAAGGAATACAAAGTTCCTGTCAGGATTCGAACCCACAGCAGTGAGGGGCAAGTGGTTTGAAGTCAACGACCTTAACCACTCGGCCATGGACACCCCTTACTTCTTTAGGGAGAGGAACTAAATAAGTTTTTATTCGTTCTTATCCCTTTTCAATTTTATGTACCAATTAAATACATATAAAATATGTAAAACATTGAAATAAATATATTTCAACTAATTGTACAGATATATTTAATATTGCTGATCAAGTTCAAGGTCAATTCAATGCAGTCTTAATATCACCAGCAAAGCATATACACCATCTCAGTAGGGGCGGAGCATTGCATTCTTCTCTCGATTTTATTGGATAACAGCATCACAAATATTCTTAACTTCACTTGCATATGCTAAAAACACATATTTATATTGTGTTTTGATTGTTGACACTTGGAACATAATGAGGTGGTGTTCTCTAAAAGATGCTTAATGCATTAAAAATATAGACAGCAAATGATATGGAGGCATTCAAAGTGGTCACATGAGACAAAAGTTGCTTAATACACATAGTGGCATGCGCAAGTTAGACTGTATTGATCTTTGCAAGAATTTCAAATTTTATTTTCTTAGACTTTTAGTTCTCAATGGAACTCCTTGAAACAATACAGACGGACACCTACTGGACACCTGGTTAAATAAAACTTACCTTTTTTAAAGTGTCTTCATCTGTATGTATTATAATACATATATTACAGTATACTCTGAAAGGTTAAAATATGTATAGTAAATTAACATCATAAATCAGTCAAAATTTGACAAAATTCATCATTGTCAAAAGACGTTTTTAAAGGACACAACATTGTTTACATTTATAGAAGAAGCATAATCAAAAGAATCCATTTGTAGATGAACTCAATAATATTTGGTATATTATGACATTTCAGTAATCTATTTGGAACATATTCCAACTAAACCTAAAATTCAAGCAGTGCAAGTGCATTAACAAACTTTAAAGGAACTCCACTGAAGTCTAAAAAGGTGAAAATATAAAATTTTAATATCTGACGTAGATAAGCTGAAGCTCTTGAAACAGTAAGATATGCAATAGATAATTAAGAAATAAATTAAAAATAGTATATTTGAGCTTCATGTATTCTTGCTATAGCCAGATTTGAAAATAATATTTGTGTGCTATTCTCAGCCAGATTTAAGCGGAAAGCTTTGCATTTCTCACAATTACCAGTAGAATAATCATTCTGAAAAAAAAAAAAAAAAATTGAGTGAGCGAATGATCTGAAAGTTTGCACACAGGTTATTTGTGTAGAACTACATGAAATGGAAAATTCACCTCAAATTTTTTTTCCAGTCCCTTAATGCCAAAAAAACTTCAGTGGAGTCCCTTTAAAACACGACAATGTGTGATCACAGGAAAGCTTACCTCGTACACTCTGTATTGTCACAAACACACATCTCCCCACCATCTCCACAGACTGCACAATATAGCTGTAACATTTATAGTTACAATATAGCTGTAACATTTATAGTTACAATATAGCTGTAACATTTATAGTTACAATATAGCTGTAACATTTATAGTTACAATATAGCTGTAACATTTATAGTTACAATAAACGAGTAAGGCATAAATTGTTTCATACATGGTGAGCAACCATATTGTCATATATACATGTATTATGCAATGCATTATAAAGTTATTTTAGAATTTATTTGTCTATATAAAATTAAAGGTTTTTAAAATTTATTTGTGTATATAAAATTTAAAAGGCTGTAGGTGATGTTTCAATCATACTAAACAACTGGAAAAGGAGACATTGTTCACAGATTTCCCAGTCAGTCTGCATGAACTATGTGAGATAACAACAACTCATCAAGACCATGCAGAAATCACAAAACTTCACCACGAGCATTTAGAAATCACAAAAATTCACCAAAAGCATTTAGAAATCACAAAAATTCCCCTAGTGCATGTAGAAATTAGTAGTTTCCTTCAGGTCTTCTTAAGGGGAAAAATGCCAGATGACACTGATAATCACACAAAGTAAAGATGAAGACTACATGATTTGACAGGATGGCTTAATACGATGACCTTACGAAGCGCACGAAGCGCAAAATTTGGGAAACCAATTCAAGATGAAAAAAGGAACCCTTTGCCCAAAATCTTTGGCAAATTTTTTTTTGGGATGCCAAATTTTACCGACCCCCCACAGAGTTTTCTGCTGGGCCTTTTAAAAATTTTGCCGGGGTCATAAAGATGGCACAAGATTTCCCCACCAATGAAATTTTTTTATGCTCAGATCCCTTGAACATTTTCCTTTTTCAAAGCCCAAATTTTAGGCAGTGG